CTCCCTAGCCATATGGCTGAGGGCAAGAGAAACTTTGGGGCATCTGAACCCCATACGTCCGGACTTGGGCTTGCACGTAGGATGCCCGCCAAATTATTTGGAAGCATCTGAAGCCCCAGGTGAGGGTGATGTTTATCAGTAGTAAGGCCACATATGGTTCTTGAATGACCCACAGACTTGGAATTGATTTGGCTGATTTGACTCGGAACACGAAAAATTGTCCTTTAAAAAAAAGTTTGTATTATGCATAAGTAGGTGTCAAAATGCTACTTAAAAGTGTGTTTATAGAGTACCAGTTCTAAAACTTGCAGCAGTTTCAAAAAAGGCAAAATGTATCAATTATGGGTGATCTAAGTGTATAGGTACTATGTGCAAATCACTACAGCTATCTTCATTTAAGAAAAATTTTTTTTTTCCAAATTTGTTCCTTACTTCCATGTGGTCAGGGAAAGTATGGTCCAACAGTAAGGAGGAGGGGAAGGAGCTGCAGGAGGAAGAACTTGCAGGGGGGGGGTAGAGGGGAAAGAGGCTACCTGATTCCCCAGATTTATTTTGCCTGCTGTAAGCAGTGGGAAGGGGACAAATTCAAGACAAATCTCCAATAATTAGATTCTATACCTAGAAGATTATATCAAATTTATAAGTTTTCCATATATAGAATCTAATTATAGTGGGGGTTGTTCTATAAATCAGGATCATCTTATATTAGAGTAAATATGGTATTGTGCTTCAACTTGGCAGCAAGTAGCATACTGGGAGAAGAATATATACCTTGTGCATCTACAGATGCATCACAAGCAGGTCCAGGTAGGTGATCCTTTCCCTCTATGCAGTGCTGGTCAGGTCACAGTTGGAGTACTGCGTCCAGTTCTGGGTGCCGCACTTATATTATTTATTTATATTATTGGCCATCTATAAACTCACCGGGGGGACCAGCAGAAAATAGGCGAGGCTCTGTTTCCCCAGGGCACCACCTGGGATAACTAGGAATAACAGCCACAAATTGATTGAGAGTAGGTTCAGGCTTGATATCAGAGGCATTACTTTACGGTGAGGGCTGCCAGGCTCTGGAATGGGCTCCCAAGGGAGGTGGTGCTCTCCCCTACCTTGGGGGTCTTCAAGAGGAGGTTGGATAGATACCTGGCAGAGGTATTATGATACCAGCACTCGTTCCTGTCCAGGGCAGGGAGTCGGACTTGATGATCTGTTCAGGTCCCTTCCAAACCTAGAAACTATGCATATATGCTGGTCTTGTAGCTGGGCCCACATAACTGCAAGAGGGTATTTCAAAACATAGCACAGTCAAGACATTCAATGTACAATACAACTACTAAAACTGCACCCTTGCTATTCCAGATGTTTGAAACTAGCCAAGTATTTTCAAATCTAGCTAAGATTTAATATTATTTTATAAATAAAATTCTAAAAAGCAAATCCAAGAAATTTGGTTTTACAAAAATAAAGATACACATATCCTGGAAATCAGCTACACCATTCCACTGTAACTCTGCAATATATAGGTTTGGGCTGTTGTATTTATTAAAAAGAACATTTTTAGAAGCATGTTAAATCAGATATCCCTCTGAACTACACTCCTAGATTTATAAAACCTGATTTCTATTAAGCAAATTCTTTACTTGCTTAGATAAACGCCCTAAGCCATATTGAGATCATGCAAACAGCAAAAACTATTAAAAATTATTAAAATTAGCCAAAAGTCCATGCTGACTATACATTAACAAAATTAAAGGGCAATGGGGCCTTACTGCACATCACTTTCCACTGAACATCTGTCTACATGACCAAACTTACTGGGGATGTCTACTTAAGATGCTGACCGCAGTAGCCAAAAACTAATGTGCAGTAGCGCATCACAGCATGGACAGTGCTAATATGCTACTGCACAGTATTATTAGACTACTGCACAGTAGTATCACTTAAAAGACATTTGCCGGTGCTAATGCACAGTAACTCCATTTACCGCACGTTTATTTAGTATTTGTTAATACAAGTACTAAATAAATGCGCAGTGGCATCTCGTGTAGATGCACCCACTATGTAGAGAGCTAAACTTTAATAAGTTAGCCCTGCTTTACTGAGGGGTAAAATACCGTATTTTAGTTTTCTCATTCTGAGGAGATGGGTATGGGGAGAGGGACAATTATCGCACAGCAGCTTTTTTTTTTTATATATTAAATATTGATTTGTTCATACCTGTTAGCAATGGTACTTTTCAAATATACCTTTAAGCTACAGAGAAAGAGTAAACAGAATTATGTTATTTATGAGATGTTTAGTAAATGCTGAAAATTACAAAACTTTAAATACACATCTAACATATCTGTATTATGGAAGTACCACTTACTTTCCATAGCTGAGCTATAGTTGAATTTTGCACTTAAAACCAATGTAAACACTTTGGTACTTGAAGAATACCAAGTATATTCCTCCTATCAACTACAGTACTGAGTTGGCAAGAAAAAGAGCTAAAATTAGTTTAAATGTCCTGTATAAATTTTATCATAGGTATGATAATTCAAAGCAGAATAAAAAGATTCCAATTCAAACTGGCCACTAATCTTGAAGAATTTAGGTACCACACTATCAGCAACATAACATTCAGAATTCAATATCTTTTTGTGATTTATGTCAACATTTATTTAAGTTCTCTTCTGTTTGATCTCTTTGAGGTAAAAGGCCTATTATACTGAATTATAGCTACAAGTTAGTACTATTTGTTCACACACTTGACAATGTATAGAAAAACTATGCTCCCATTATGACATCTTTAGATCAACCCATCACATTCCTGAAACTTTAACACACAAATGCAAACCAAGATTTTTTTTTTTTAAAGCATTTACTAGGAATGACTAAAAAGCACAAGAACTTAAAAGAATAACAAGACAACAGAACATATTAGAATATCTCAAACCATCACATCCAGCACCCTACAGTAAAATATAAAGTCCTAAGCAAAAGTACCCTTAGTATAACAATTTACCATTTGTGGCAATTTTTTAGAAAGAAAAGCTCCTTTTAGTTCATATGGCGGAACTTATTCTTTTTAGTAAGGAAGTTCATGGTTCTATAGCTTCCATAAGAACATACTAATGATTCTTAAAATTGCCTTCCTTTTTTGCTAACTTAGCCTCATTTTGTAAAGTCCGGATAAGCAAATGGATATGCAACTGTTTAACTTTACCCAGAAGTAGTTTATTTTATCTTTGAACTTAATATACAAAAGTAACTACTCAAAACTAGTTTATCAGATTTAATTCTATGAAAATGCAACAGTGATATTAACGAGCATGAACATTTTTTTTTTACTCTATCACCTTGTAAGTGCCAGAGAAGAACATGATTTGAGCCAGAATAAAACTTGAGTATACTTTTAACTTCCAAGTCAGGAGTTTAAGTTAAGTTATCTCCATCCCCTCCATTCTGCTCTCCAGGAATAAAATCTAGAAACCAATACAAATTTAAACCAAAAGTAGTAACTTGAGTCTTTTGTCCAAGAAGCCTCCACAATTGTCTCAAAAGAAACTGTAGTACTTAATAGTAACAACAATTCTGGAATGCAACAGTACTGACCAAAGATCTTAAACTGGATCAGACCCTACCACATCAAACATCCATATACACTCAGAGACACTCTCCTTGTTCTGAAGAGCTTAAGATAGAAGCTTGTCCCATGCTTGGACTGATGCAAGTGTAGGAGACAAATTTAAGTGAAAGTGTGACACACAGGAAACGAAAACAGGGTCACAATTCTGTATATATACACAAAATGCATATATATTTTCATAGGCACACACTTGAAAAAAATCTGTCCACTTTCAGGTAAGCAACAACGAAGTGAAAAATCACAGTGTAACACAAAGGATCAATCTAAATATCAATTTGAAGTATTTATTCCAAATTATGAATGTGGATAAATCCATATAATTAAACCAGATTTTGCTTAATACAGGTAGTCTTAAAATTGAACAAATTACCACCATAGGCAAAACAAATATATTGTCTATCAAATATTACGTATGTATATGTTACTAAAAAACACATTTTTTAAATAACTAAAATCAGAATCTCTCTCATAACTCCTGAAAATATGCCTTTTGGTAAGAGGGGGAAAAAGGGTGACAACCAGCTCAGTCCAGCAGCTGAGCCTTAAATAGATCTATATTATGACAGAGTGGGGTGGAGATTGAAGCATGAAGAAACCTCTGACAGTGTTAGAGAGGGACAGAGAAGGCCATAGTAGGCACCTTCATATTTAATATCTATGAGCCAACAGGTTGGCACTAGGCAGGGTGTAAGGGAGGCAGAGCCCCATATTTGCACACCAGGAGCCAGGACTGTCAAGCATCACTGAACTGGTAGTATATGGGGGTTGGTAAGTGAACCAGGGCAGAGTCAGTAGAGTAATGTAATCTTTAGGATGACTATAGTTAATTTTTGTTTTGTTTTGGGGATTTTTTAAAAAAGATAAAAGTGCCTCAAGCAATGCTAAAAAGGTCAATACCATATAAGTATCAACTGTAGTAATATACAATGGAAACTTACATTAGGCATAAAACTGTTAAGTGATGCAAACTCTTGGTTACATAATCATCTCTAGTATTTCCTAATTTCTTGTTGTCAAATTATTTCTCACCAATTTTTTTTAAGCAGATAATTTTTACCAAATTTGGGGATTTACCAGATCTGATTAAAATATATTTTTACTACTTACATTCACAAAAATCATTTAAAAAAATTCTTTCCTCTGCAAAGGCTTACTATTATAAGGACTTTGTGGTTAAAATGTTGTACTAAATTTGGTTCTGCTTTTGTGCTAAGAAGTCATCATAAACCAGATATACCACCAACACACTCTCTTTTCACACTGTATTTTTAATCAGCAATATCTATAAAAACAACAGTTACTTGAGAAAATTCTTAATATACTTTTAATTTATGTAAGGAATCCATTCAATACAACAACACAAAGTACTTACCCTTCTAACCTGACATCAGGTAAAGATCTGTTCAGTGCAATCATTTCGCTTGCCATTAAATTAAACTGATTTATTTTAAACATTTCTTTCATTTTTTCTTGATCCTCTTTAGGAATGACAACAGGCTTCCCCATTTCTCCTGGACCTTCATGGGGTTTTTGTACTGGTTCTGGAACTAAGAACAAAAAAGTTACACTATTGAACTTCCCCTCACTTTTAAATTTTTTCTCTATTCTGGACCTGTAAAAAAATACAGGCAATGTTAGTTTCCCTGTTAGTTTTTGTTTTACAAAATCATACTTAATGCAGTAATGTTTCATAGTGCTATACCAGTGATTCTCAACCATGCTGCAAGATCCTTTTAAGGATGAAAGGGCGGGGTGGAGGGGAAGGGGGTGACATGCAATATTAGCAATTAGGTATACAAACACCTACACATGATTCACAAGATAAACCCATAGATTTCAACTGAAGGACTGTTCAGATCGATAAATTTATGCTAGTTAGAGCAACAAACTTATTTCTTCACTACTTTCTTTCTTGCACAATTTCACACGAGCAAATGAACGCGAGGTTGTATTTTATACCTACCAGTATGATACGGACTAAATTTCTTTGCTGAAGTTATAAAATGTTGTGTGTGTGTGTGTGTGTGTGTGTGTGTGTGTGTGTGTGTGTGTGCGCGCGCATGTATAAATGACAACTGATTCACTTAGACTGATCGCTAATAAAATAAGACTTTCCATTCTGCCAGGCAACATCATTTAAATTCATTTTTTAAAATAGTCCTCCTCTCAGTTTTAGCAGAATTAAATTAACAAACACAACACTGGTATTAAACAATGGTAATTTGATGCCAATGGCTTATGGAATGAAACACAAAACAAGAATATATATTTTTTTATGTTTGAGAAAGTAATAAAAATTTAAAAAAACAAACAACAAAGAACCAAAACTGAGCTATGAAAGTTATCAGTGCTCCTTTATGAACATGTCATACTATTTTTTTTAAATCAGGAAGTTAACCTTTATACGACAAATTAGTACCAAGTTATTTTGAACATAAATTAGTATTAAAATTACAATCAATAGTTTTGTGCACCCCAACAGAATACTAGCTAATTAAGGTGGCATGCTCTTCCCATTACTTAGACCTTGAAATGCACTGTCATTTTTTGGCTAAGTGTGACAGCTTGCAACAGGTGCAGTAGTGACCACAAAGTTTAGGTCACTAGAATTTTTTATTATGAAAAATTCTCATAAGGTTTTTTGGTTTTGTTTTGTTATTAGAAACTCTCATATTGTTTGCAGCAAGCCTCTGATGTTTGACAGGCAGAAAACCCACGGAGCAAAGAAGCACCCTTTCTTTGTTCCATGAAATTTGTTTTTTTTTTGATGGAAAGACAAGCTGTTGAAAACTGCCAGCCAGTCAGTCCGCCCACCTAATCGCTGTTCAAACTTTTGACAGAATTAATCCTACAGAACCAGAATGCCTTTCATAATCATGTTTTAAAATTAGCAAGCAGAAAACGTTGATTTACTGCATGTATTGAATGTATCTTCCCCAAAAGAAAATAAAGGTGACTCACTAGCAGATAGATATTAAAACATGCTGGATAATCTTGAGAGGATCCAGAGGATGGCCACTCATATAGTTAGGGACCTGTAGGTAAGGCCCTATGAGGAGAGATCGAGGTACCTGAATGTCTTCAGCCTCCGCAAGAAAAGGCTGAGAGGTGATCTTGTGGCCATCTACAAATTCATCAGGGGAAGGGGGGGGGGGGGGGTGTTGGGGAGAGGACAGCAAGGGATAGAAGATGCTCTGTTTACCAAGGCAGCCCTTGGAGGAACTAGAAATATCGGCCACAAACTGACAGACAGCAGATTTAGATTAGACATCAGGAAGAACTTCTGTACTGTAAGGGTTGCCAAAATCTGTAATGGGCTCCCAAGGGAGGTGGTGCTTTCCCCTACCTTGGGGGTCTTTAAGAGGAGACTGGACAAGCACCTGGCTGGGGTTCTCTCACCCCAGTGCTCTTTTCTGCCTGGGGCAGGGGGCCAGACTCGATGATCTGCTGAGGTCCCTTCTGACCCCAATATCTATGAATCTATGCTAATTGACAACTAGATACACCTTGAACACTATATATTATACTTCCATATTTTCCAATGTATATGATAGGGGAGGTCCAAAATTAAGGCTCGTCTTATAACCAAAGCTACATATTATCATCATCTTTATTATAAACAGCAACAGCTATCATCATCATAAAAAGCTGACCAAAATTCAAATCATATTTGTTAGAAGTTTTCCGGTACCTTTTTGTTTTGAGGCAGACACTCATATTTAAAAAAACAAACCAACCCAGTATCTTTTTGCTAACCACGAGGGTATTTAAGTTTATTCAATAATCAACCTAATTTTTACCAGAATTTTTTTTTGCTTTTTTATATTTGACAAAGGTGAATGACAATACTTATTTACTAGGATGTTTATCAATTATTTATGTTTAGATAATGGAAACCAAACTTCAATGAAAAAGTAAAATACCAAAAAAAATACTTCGCAAATATAATACTCTTAAAAGTACTGGATACCTAAGAAAACAAGGCTATTAGAGCACGCTTTATATTTTAAAATTTAGTAAAATATTATTTACAGTAACTAAGTTGAACTATTTCTAAAAGTCACATTCTTCAAAGATTGCATAACTTGTAAATCAGCCTCTCATATCTCAATTTTATTTATAGAGGAGAACAGCTTCCTGCTGTTTCAACGCCCAACCAATTTCTCAACTGTGAATGAGCCATTCATTGAACTGAATAAACTGAATGAAGAAAGTGTTGTATTTCTTCTATAGCTTCAGAAGAGACTACTGTACAATCAGGTTGCAACTTCTGCTAATTCAGTAGGATGTTTAGGTCTCTGGTAGCAAATATTTCCTGCATTTTATTTTTAAACATAAATTGTATACCCCTCCAAATGCAGGACTCTAAATGTTAATACAGAACTTCATGGTTGGGATGATATTTGGGGAGCACAAAAGCACAGAAATAATTCCTGGCTGAGCATGGACCTTAATGCTCTTCTCCCAAAATTGGGAAATCACGGCACAATGCTAAAATGGGTAATGGCTTGGGAAAAGTACAGCATGCACAAAACGTCAAAGGAGTTTGGAGGTCTCCAAAGCAACACATCTAGGCATGCCATCAATGATGCAGTAGTTCTAAAGAAGAAAAAACCTTAAATTAAGAGGCAGGTTTCACACACCTAATGTATCCATGTCTTAACCAACTCCTAATTAGGACAAAAGCCTGGTTTTAATGATACCCCAAGTTTCAACTTAGAATTTTTCCCCATTTGATATGAATAGCCTCTGAAAGTCTCTGAAGATTTTTAGTCTTTTCTTGCTTGAAGAAATTATCTCCTTTTTATTTATGGCAGGGGCAGGCAAAATAATGGCCCGCAGGCCGCTTCCGACCCACCAGGCGAATTCATCTGACCAGCAGGCACCCACCAATTAATTGTACCCCAGCCAAATTAATTGTTAATTGTAAGGTCCCAGCTCAGCCAGCACATATAGCTTCTGGGTAAGGCTGCTGCTGCCGCTGCTGTAGCCGCTGAGGGAATCTGTTCACCTTCCTCGGCCTTCAGCTGCTCCTTCTGTCCCTGCTGCAGTGTTCACTCTGGGCACCAGGTAGGAAAGTGGCAGGGGAGGGCAGGAAGAGCTGGAGCTGGGCAGAAGTGCAGAGCATGGGGCTGGGGGCTAGCAGAAGCTTGTGGCCCATGACCAGGGGGGTGGCAGGAGCACAGAGGTCAGGTGGGTAGGGTGTGGGTGTGTGAGGTTTGTGTGGCGTGAGGGAGGGTAGGAGAGTGTGGGCACCCCCCTGAAACACCCCCCCCCCCCATGGTGCACAGCCCCTGGTGCTGGTAGTAGCAGCAGGTGGTGCTGGGCCCTCAGGGTGCTCATGGCACGTGCAGACAGAGCCCATCAGCAGCATGTGGATCCGGTCAGTTCTGAGTGCTGCACACGGCAGCAGGGAGTGCAGCCAGACTGGCCTCCCTTCATCACGCAGGACTCATATGTAGCTCCTGGCACTCGCACATGCCCAGGAGGAAGCCCTGCACAATGGAACTGGCTGCCTGCCCTGCTCCCTGCTACCACATGCAGGCACGGGGACTCCATCAAGAAGCAAGAGGCAAGGCTCCCCCCTACTTCCAATAGTTCCAGCAGCTACATGTGGCAGCAGGGAAGGCAGCTGGCTCCATTGTGCCAGCTGGCTCCCCTGCTCCCTGGCTCCATGCCAGCTGCCTTCCCTGCACCCTCCCTCCCTCCCTCTCTTCCCCACCCCTGCTGGCGCACAAGTGCTGAGATCTGCACATGCCCCACAGGGAGCTCCATGCGATAGAGGAGAGCTGACCTGGCTCTGCTCCTTGCTGCCATGTGCAGCTCCCGGAAGCAGCAGGAGCCACACACCGCTGGGGGGCTGTACCTGCATAGGCCATGAGCATCCGGTGAATCTGCCACCTGCTGGTAGGAGCTGTGCATGGGAGGAATGCGTGCAAGGGTTCCCCAAATCCTCCATACCCTACCTCACACTCCACAAGCACCACACATCCACACCCTGCCACATACCCTAAACCTCCCCACAAACACATACCGACACACCCCCAACCATACACACGCTCCCCCACTCCCAACCACAATCCACACACACAATATACACGAGTAAGACTTTATTTTTGAGTTTTTATGCAATCATCTAAATATCCTATACGTAAACAAAAATCATGACAACATTTTTTTGAAATAAAATATGTTAAAGTAGATGGCTGACTTTCAGTATATGATGTGTTTTTTTTCTGGTTCCAAGATGGCAACGTCCCCACTTCCCAAAAGGAGTACTTCCAGGAGCAAGGGGAGGGACTTCCAATGGCAAAAGTCAGGGATTAGGAGACAGGACTTCCAGTCCCAAGATGGCAACTAGGTAGCAGGGTACCTGTCAAGGGGCAGGGCTACCCTTGCAGCCTTTGACAGCTCACCAAAACTCATTAATAGGGGTGCACCAATAAAGATTTTGTGGGCAGATACTGATGTCCGATTATTGACCACACATATTGGCTGATACCAATCCAATTGCCAATATGTATATTGCTGCTCAACAGCTT